TGTTTTGAAGCTCCATGGTCTCCTGCTCTTTTCCCCAATGAGCCCAAGGGAATTGGGCCTGAGGAGATGGAAAGCTCTAGAGATGGAGTCAGAGGAGAGTCTTTCCCCACCTCAGTAGCCTGTTGTCTAGGAAGAAGAGTCTGAACAGCCCGCGGCTGTTTGTGAGCCACATCTCCTGTGTCTTCCCTGGACCCTCTTTCATTCAGCCCCTGGCTGCCTATCAACTCTTTCTCAAAGGGTAGTCCAACTGTGCATGTTTGCATCTCCCTTCTGACCGCATCAGCCCCCAGGCACCCACTGGTCTTCTCGGAAGCCAAAAGCTCTAGTGGGATATCTGCCCTTTCCTGAGATGGGCTGGGTGATGTGAGGTCTGTCCTCACCCCAAATGAGAGCCAGGAGAGGCGAGTTATAACTCCTGAAGTGTTGCTGCAATCTGTTAAGAGCTGGGTTGCATCTGGAAAACCCACATGATTTTTCTTGTGCACTTTCTGTAAGGCCTCTTTGTTTATCAGTTGTCTGCTCTTTGCCTGTGACAAGGCACCGTTACTGCTATTTTCAGCACAGCTGTCACAATTAGCTTTTCTTTCTTCACAGAGAGCTGGGACAGGCTCCTCACATGCTGCTTGCCTCCCAGCAGTGGGGACCAGTTCCTGGTCCTGGGTCACCTCATGGGGAGAGGCCACACTGGGGCCATGAGCTGATGGTGGCAGTGTGTGTTCATTAACAGGACAGGTCGCCTCTTGGACCAGGAATGGGGGTACCTTGCCAGCCTTGTGCTGGGCTGCCATTGCCTCACCCACCTCTTCCAGTGCCACTTGGGCCAGCCTGCTTCCAGTGGCCACACAGCTCTCCTCACTCGGCCATGCAGTATTTGTCTTCATGGAGCAACTTTCCTGGGCAGCTTTGCTTTGTACCCCAGGAAGGGGTATGGCTTCCTCCAGGGACAGGGAATGTGAATATACAACATTTGCCGGTTGGAGGCCACTGTCCACATGTATGGCAAGGTCTGCACTCTCCTCCCTGTGCTGGTCACTCTGCACGCGAACCGCTGAAATGGAAGACACCACCGAGTCAGTCACTGATTTTGTTTCCATGGTGTCAGGCTCCATTTCCATCAAGTCAGAGGATGGGTTTGTGCTAGCAGTGTCTCTCTGGGCCTGGGTGGCAGTAGGAAGTCCCAGCTCTGCATCCTTCTTGATGTTCTCTGAGGAGGGTGGAGCCGGGGGCTGAGCAAGGAGTGGGGGTGGCCAAGACCAGCAGCTCTGCAGAGAGCCTGGAGCCAAGGGGAAAGTGACCTGTGAGGTGTAATCGGTTTTCAGGAAAGACCTCCTCTTCCTCAGGCTCCTGGCATATGTCAGCTCCTTTTCCTTTCTGTGTTTCTCCCTTGCTGTCTGCCTTGTCATTAGGTTTTCCCCCAAGCTGTAACACCTTGGTTTCTTTAGGATGCAGGAGGAGATGTCTGTACCCTCCCGGGACTTCATACTGTTGCCTGCTGGCAAGAAAAAAACATGCAAGTCAGGAAATAGCCCCAGGCAGAAGAATATCCATGCACCTATGCAACAGGCCAAAAAGCTCTTAACACAGGTCCTGCAATTGCAGACACAAATGTTTGTCAGCAAAGCCTGGCTCCAAAGTGCCAAAGGAAACCGTCTCATATTATGATCAAGCACCTACTTGGAATCAGCTATGTCCAGAAAATTAGAATCTGGGCCTGTGGCTACAAAGAGTCAGTCCAGGATTAGTGACGAAGGGCACTGGATAGTCTCTCCCTGTGTTTACTGGAGTTAGGTACAGCTATAATTCTGAAGTTAAATTTGGTGATAGTAAAATCTCAAGTTAAATTTGGTGATATTAGTAGCAGCTACAGAGACCATTGCCTACAGCTGTAGATTTATTAGCATTGAATAGAAACATTATCAGAAATTCCTAGCCTGGATATTTAGATGATAAAAATTTCCAGAGATTACAATTTCATGCCTAAACATGGTATTGTTACCATGCATGAATGCAAAAGACAAAATTGCTCTAACTACACAAACCAAATTCTTACGAAGTTCAGTTAATGTTGAAAGAGCGGATTATTTCAGAAACAGGAATCCTTTCTTTTTTGAAAAAATACAACTACCAGGGACCTGCTCAGTCACAGGACTCCTTGACCCACGTATGTAACATGCCCTTGACCTGAAAATTATTTTTGGTCTTGGGGGTGCATGGGACAGTAATATTTTACAGCTTTTGGCAATCCTCAGCTTGAAGGACGATAGCGGAGTGAAGGTACTGCCTAACAGTTGGAAATGTTTGTCATAAAGCTCCCTGTCAGTGCAAAGACACGTGTGTCCTGTGTTCTGTTTCTCATCATTCTTTTCATCATGGAAGGTTCAGCCTACATAGAAGGATGCAGAGAACTTAAATCAAGCAGCATGTTGGCTTCAGGATCAGGCAGAGCCACACATTAGTATTCTGGTATTCCTGCAGAAACCTGGGGACTTTCCAAAATGCCAAACTCATCTGAAAACTGACTGGTTCTGCGATCCAGTGCTTGGATGTGATGACAAATCTCCCTGCAGCATTGCAGCTCAGACCCCTGTGTACACAGCCACTGTATTTCTGCTGAAGAGTAGCTTAGGAAGAATGGGTGTTCAAAGGTCCTTCTAAAATCTTGGGAAAACTATGTAAAGCTGAAAGATGATCCCTCCAGGAAGACTGACAGAGGAAAAAAGGCAACACCCTAGCCCAGGGGGTTGAAAGAAGGTGATCTGCAGTGAGTGGGTGAGGGTTTACCTGCCAGGTCATCCGGAGGGCTGAGCTTGTCTGCAGCATCATAGAACTCCTCCTCAGAGCTGGTGTCACCAAAGCCTGGGGGTGGCTCCAAAATGAGGTTGCTTGCGTCTGCTGTCAGCTCTGCTCCACACGGTGCCTCTTCCTGGGCAGACCCATCTTTCCCAGGACTTCGAGGGCTGTGACTTATGGTACTCCTCTCCACGCTGCCTGCAGGGGATATGCTGTAGCACAGGCTGTAATAGCCCATGGTGTTTCTCTCAGACAGCTTTGTCTCCAGCACAGATGAACCAACGTCCTCCCCTCTCTGCTCAGAGGGGCTGTCTTCACACCCAGGCTCCTCTGCATGTGGTACCTGCAAAAAACAGTAGTAGTCTCTGGTTTCTGCCCTTCTGGAGCCTCCTGCAGTACGAATGGGGAAGAAGCTCTTGTCTGAGCTGCTCATCTCCTGCACTGTTGGTGTATACAAGTGGAAGAACTCTGGCCTGGATGAAGAGCAAGCTTCCAACTCATCTTCCTCCAGTGCATCCACAGAGTCACTGGAGCCACTTGTCTTAAACCCTCGGCTCTCTGTGTTGGCTGAATCTGAAGCCTCAGATGTGCTGTCTGTTGCATTGTCACGCCCATCACATTGGTCATTCCCTCCAGCTTGGGGCTTTGTGCTGTCCTTCTCCAGGCTGTGGAGCTCTCTCAGCTCCTCCTCATTGCACACAAGATGGGCACTGCTGTGTGCTATAGGAGTGTCCAAGCAATGCTCTGAGGAGGAATCCAGCTCCCAGGAGTCTTCAGAGTCACTGCAGGTTCGAGATTCGTACCCTGGGATTTAAACACATCTATCAGCCTGTCCTTTGCGGTGGCAAGGAGGAATAGCCAGACAAGGGTTATGAACCTGTCCGCATGGGAGGGACTCAAAGCCCAAAGAGCTCTGCCCTCACTTGCTCATCAGCAAACAAGGTGAAGATGGGGCCATAACCTGTCCCTCCTGCTGGCTTTGCCTGGTTTTACTGCAGAGCAGTACCAGAGCGAGCTGCAGAACAGCAGCCAGCTAATTCATTGTCTAAAGCCTCAGTCTGCAACCCCTGAGGCTTGAGTTACCTGACGAGGGACAAGACAGCGTGACAAACAGATCCTCTCTCTTCTGGCTGGGGTATGCCAGCACAGGGGAAGTTGTTCAGGAGGTTGGTAAAAGAGCACAAGTGCTCAGTGACAGGTTTGTCATTTCAATGACAGGCACTCAGCCTTCACTTCTTGGGGAAAGCTGACAATTACCGCTGCTCTTCCCCTACCCGACATGTCTGGGGTTGATGGAAACCTGGCACTGCCTGCAACAAGGCTGACAGTCTTAATTCACAGATGCCACTGCACACCCCTGGGCTACTGTTCTAGCATGATGCTATTCCCAGGAGGGAATAACACCTCTAATGCTGGAGGATCCACCCACTTTCTCCCCATCCTGTGGCAAAAAAATGTCTGGTCTTTCTTTAAACCTTCTTCAGCTGAGACACGGTGCAGTTGCTGTTTTTTCTCTCCCCAGGTAAATATGGAGACATTTGCATCCACGAACAGTCTGTAATAGCCAATGATGAGGCAGACAAGATCTTTTGCACTGTTTGATTCCAGCAGCAGAGTCAGCAGCTTTTTTTTTGTGCGGGAGAGGGGTAGAAAACGGTAAAAAATGTTAGAATAGACAAATAGTGCTTGTACCACAATCTGCAGGAACATGCTGCACACTGTAAAGACATTCCTTCTCTCCCATACCGCCACCATTGCAGAGCACTGTTTTTGCATGAGGCAGAAAGAAGAGAAATTGTTTTTCTTGCATTTTGTTTCTCTGATATGCCTCACTGATGGAGGACAGCAGGAAGAACCACTTTTCTTCAGTCATTTTGCATTCTTCCTACGAGCTTTACTTTCCGAGTTTGTTCTAAGCCTTTTGTACTGATGACACCATCAGCTAAATGTCAGATTTTGAAAAAGAATAGACGGTGTGAATTACTCCCCCCTTGTTCTCAGGTCCCAACACAGCCACACGCTGGCCATCACGAAAGCACCGCTTACCTTTAGATCCTGCAGGTAGATTTTCACCATGCTCACTTTTTCAGATTCCTCTGTAAGCTCCACCCTGCTGATATTTGCAAATTCTGCCAGACTTGTTATGATGTTGAGCTTATTATTGATAATCTGGCTCACCCCATACTTCGCACCCACCAGCAAGGCAACGTACGATTCTCTGTCCTGTAGCTGTAGGGGGAGAGGTTAAATCTGTAGCCAAAATCTGAGCAGGAACCCATTCACCTGTGCTGGGCAGGGACTCCTCAGCCACCCAATCCTGTGTGGTAACTTTTAACACTGGACTCTACAACTGGGCTGTAACCAGCTGCAAAGGGAGCCCCTCATTACTTGCAAGCTGTCAGGTCACCTGCCCCCAGCCATTCTCTTCTCTGGCTTGGGGACTGACACTTTCCCTGTGCCCCCAAGGCAGGTGGCCCCAGAGATGCACCAGCCATCCAGTGGATCCAAAGACGTGGTCAGCAGCAGCTTGCTATCAGAAGTGTCACCTGGCAGGCTGCACCAGATGACCTAGTGAGACCTACTGGAGCTAGCTAGAAACTTCAGCAAGGTATTTTTAGTTTTGGAAGAAATGTCAACGCTTTCTGTTAGGATCAGACACTTAAAAAAATGAATTAATGCCCATGTAATTTGGCAGAAATATTTAAATTTCCACACAAGTGTAAACCTAGGCATTACTGCAACCCATCAGTAAGGTCCTCCTCTGGTACAGACCTACCTACAGTGCTCAGGTCTCTGTACAAAACAGCTTGTGGTCCATGGTTTACTACAGATCCAAGTGGGGACAGGCAAAAAACCCTCAAGAAACCTCCTATGAAAAGAACAGTGTTCTTTTTTACAGTAAGGTTTAAGCATGGCAAATATCTTTTCAAGAGTTTTTGAACACCACCACCCCACCCCCCCCAGATCTCTTAAGTACTTTATGACATCAAATCTAGAAAGAGCTCATCTGAAGAGCAAGAATCACAACTTTCAACTAGAAAAACATGCATAATTATTGTGTAGGCTGGAATGTTATTCACTTCAATGGAACTATGCTGAGTTACCCTAGGAGGGTCCCTTACCAATATTTATCATGATGTCCCAGGGCAGGGAAAAGTGGTATGGCTGGAGTTGGCTGAAAGAGCATCACCAGAGCTAACGTTACATTTTCTATGAGTATTGAAGCAAAGACAGAGAAGGACAGTCAGTAAGAAGTTGCTAGTCTCACATCAACAATCAATTTAGAAAAATATCTAAACATTTCTGCTTTAGATAGGTGTATTGGGTTTCTGTGGCAAGGTCTTGGTAGCGGGGGGGAGGTTACAGGGGTGGCTTCTGTGAGAAGCTGCTACAAGTTTTCCCTGTGTCCGCTGCCGGCCAAGGCCAAAGAAGTGGGAGGATGCGAGAGAAAACAGCCCTGCAGACACCAAGGTCAGTGAAGAATGAGGGGGAGGAGGTGCTCCAGGTGCTGGAGCAGAGATTCCCCTGCAGCCCTTGGTGAAGACCATGGTTAGGCAGGCTGTGCCCCTGCAGTGCATGGAGGGCCGCGGTGGAACAGATATCCACCTGTAGCCCGTGGAGGACCCCACGCCGGAGCGGGTGGATGCCCAAAGGCAGGAGGCTGTGACCCCGTGGGAAGCCTGCACCAGATCAGGTTCCTGGCAAGGCTTTGTGGACCCATGGGGAGGAGCCCACGCTGAAGCAGGTTTGCTGGCAGAACTTGTGACCCCGCGGGGGACCCAACCCTGGAGCAGTCCGCTCCTGAAGGACTGCACCCTGTGGAAATTATGGACCCATGCTGGAACAGTTTGTGAAGAACTGTAGCCTGTGGGAAGGATTCACATTGGAGAAGTTCGTGGAGGACTGTCTGCCGTGAGAGGGACCCCATGCATGAGCAGGGGAAGAGTCCTCTCCCCAGGAAGAAGCGGCAGAGACAATGCGTGATGAACTGACCTCAATCCCCATTCCTGTCCCCCTGCGCCGCTGGGAGGAGTAGGTAGAGAAACTGGGAGTGAAGTTGAGCCCAGAAAGAAGGGAGGGGTGGGGGGAAGGTTTTTAAGATCTAGCAGTTTTTCTCCTCTCCTTCTCCGATTTTGATTGATAATAAATTCATTTTTTTTTCAAGTTGAGTCTGCTTTGCCCATGATGGTAACTGATAAATGACCTCTTCCTGTCCTTATCTTGACCCACAAGCCTTTTGATATACTTTTCTCTCCTCTGTCCGGTTAGAGGGGAGTGATAGAGCGGCTTTGGTGGGCCCCTGGCGTCCAGCCACAGTCAAACCACCACAATACGGTTGCTTTGGTTAAGACATCATCTTACCCAGTGGTGAAGAAAAAGGGTTAAAACTGCTTCTTGTGCCCTATCTATCTTTGCAGTTATTGTCCAAGTACACTGCTGTAGAGATGCACAAAGCAAGGCAGTAAGACATGAGCCCAAACCTGATTACATAAATAAACAGTGCTCGTACCATCAGGGTGGCATTGAAGATCTTCCCATTGTACATCTTCAGGTCTCCCAGTATTTGCAGGTAGCTCAGGCGCACTTGGACTGCTGCGAGCATATGCTTTGTTTTGCAAGAGAAGAAATACTGTTTAGAAACATGACAGATGAATAAGGTTTGACAGGTAGCCTGTAGGCTAGAAGATGCTCTTTTCATACAGGACTTAATATTTGACCAACACATCTATCTTGGTCTGGATAGGCAATAGATCTGTACAGGACCATCCCACATTTGCCATCTGGCAACCCACACGCAAGCTGCAACAGAACACACTATGCAGGGAAATTAGGGTGCGTGCATGGCAGAGGAAGTTACAAGAGAGAAAGACAGGAGAAAAGCCCCAAGTGGTCCCATACAGAGGAGAACCTCAGAGGAAAGACATTGCCTCTTTGGCCCTGAGAGATGCTGCTGCTATCCTTAAAGGCCCCTTGAACCCAGGGGATGCACACTACCTTCTGCCGAGGGTCCAGTAGCACCTGGTTCCGCTTCATGTGGTAGCTGATGGCTTTCTTGATATCCTTCCCTCTCATGTTTCGAAGCAAAGTTGGTGAGATGAAGTTTTCGATTCCCCAGTCCCTCCTGCCAGAAAGATGGGAAGGCTGTGCTGTCCCCCAGCAACACAGAAATGTGCAGAAGGGAGATGGACAGAGGCAGAGAAGGGCCAAAAGCACCGCAACAGAACAGGATGCACCGAGCCTTAGGGTGCTGTAACACGTCTGGATGGCTCATGCAACATGACTGCCTTACTTGAATTCACTTCTGTGTGCATCTGCTACTGGGTCAGGAGATAGGGTTGGAGGAACACATGCTTTCGTGCAGAATGCCTGTTTTCACATGGTTGTGCAGGAGACAATCTACAAGCTTTGTTATCATAATGGTCCCAATCTGTCCTTGCCACCCAGAGGATGAAGATTCTGTCTTTACATTCACTTTACTTTGGTTACAACGTTATGACCTTTTAGTAGCTCCAGTTCTCTAGACTCAAAAATGTGGGCTATCTGTTCTGCTGAAGAGTTTACTCAGCCCAAGCATTAAATATCCAGGGACTAAGAATGCTGCAGTTGTCTGTAGTCACTTCTCACTCTCCACTAACTGCACATGGTTGGGTATGCCTGACTGTATGCAAGGAATCAGTGGTGCTTGCATGGGCTGGCGGAGGCTCAGTGGTGCAGTTACCACACAAATGTCTGTTATTTAATGATTGGCCCACCACAAGTTCTTAAAGCAAACATGGGTTGTTCTTTAGGGGAAAGTGTGGTCTAACAGCACTGACATGCAGCACAGCACACCTGCTGCTTGTGAAAGTGGTTTTCAGTACTTTTTTTCCAGATCCCATTACTTCACAGGACCTCTCACTTATACTGAAATTAGGTATTTCTGATGGTGGATGAAGTGATGTAAAGTATTGGCTGTGCAAAGTTGATGATTATGCGCTCTCTCAACTACAGCATGTAAATCTTAGTATACTGTCAGGAGCAGCCTCAGTAACGAAAGCTACGTGAGAGATTTGCAATTTCATGTCCCTGGTCTAGCTACAGATCAGAACCTCCCTCTGCTTAGGGACAGGCCCAGATGTTACACTGTCTGTTATTATTCAAGCAGCTCAGCAGGTTAAAGACAGGGAGGCTCATGAAGCTGTCTTGCCCTAAAATGACTGGCACAACTAAGAGACTGCAGTCTCTTTGGGTCAGAGACAGTCTTCTATACAGAGCTAAACACTGGGCAAACAGAGAGCTGATGCCACTTTTAGTTGGCTCCTTCTTTTTCCAGACTTAGTCACAACATAACACAGGAATTTGGGAACTTACTCAATGTATTTCAAGGATACTTTCTGTGGCTGAGCACAAGCATAGATCCTCTCCTGTATGTGCAGAGCAGCCAGACGTAATGCCACACTGCATTTCATTTCCACAGCAAATCTTTCCTGGAGCACATCGCTGCAGCTCTGGAACAAACAGAGCTGAGTTAGCATAATGATGGGAGCTCAAGAAGTCAGGGTAAAACCTCTGATATGACTACTGTGCGTTAAATAAAGGGAACCAGCCAGCTCATTTCAATCTCACTCTGTTAAGAAGCCAAACATATTAAGTTGATTCAAGAATTTAAAGCAAGTTGAATCCAAATGCTCTGTTCTTAAGTCCTCTGCATTTCACATTCATATAACCGAACTGGCCTGAAATATGCTTTGGTTTAGAGCAGAAATGAGATTTGGGTGAGAAGAGCTCCTGAAGCATGGAATGCCTCGATTTCACCTGCAGGTAGAGATATTCGAAGGCAATCGGGTCTTCCTGCAGGAGGTCTAAGGAATCCTTTGGGACAAAACAAATTCTGAAGAGGCACCGGCAGTCATGAGATTCTCTTTTTTGGACCACCTGCAACAGACAAACAGCATCAACAACTACTGCTGCAGTCCCTCCCTTCATAAATGCATAGTAAGCCTCTGGCTTGTACGAACTCACAGAAATCATTTAAAGCTACTGGCAAGTGGGATGACTGCAGATCAGCCATTGTCCCTAAGAAATATAAGGAAACATTGTTCATGTAATTTTATCTTTGATTCTTTTTCTGGTTTTTGCTTCTCCCTATGGTAGCTTGGAAGTCCTTCGACAGCAAAAGCTTCACTAAATATCCATTGATCTCATATACTTGCAGTATAACCAGGACAGAGGCTTCAAGGCCATATAATAATGACAGAAGCAGGGACAAGCTTCTCTGCTTTTAAGTTCAGTCATAAGATAGAGCATCCCTAAACAGACACTTGGATCATCATCATAATGTCAATAAAATGTTAAGACACCAGGGTTATACATTAGCATATTGTATTCTGAGCAAATCCCATACATGCTCACCAACTGAAATAAAGCAGGAATTCTCAGGCACGCATGCTTAGTGGTTGGACAGTGTTGGCTACTGAAACTCTGTGCATCACAGTGCATCACCAACCAACCAAGTCAACAGCATGGAGATGAGACTCCCAAGTAGGTGCATTCTTACAGAATAGCCCATGATTTCTAGTAGGGCAACAGAATTACTAACAGAGCCAACCTCGGGTTTGCAGGACATGAATGTTTGACTGAGAATTTAATCAAGTGGCACCTGGCTGGGTTAACTCCCTGTCCCGGTTTCAGCTGGGACAGAGTTAATTTTCTTCCTAGTAGGTAGCATGGTGCTGCGTTTTGCATTTAGTACTAGAAGAATGTAACACACTGATGGTTCAGTTGTTGCTGGGTAGTGCTTAGACTGGCCAAGGGCTTCTCAGCTCGCAGCTCCGCCAGGTGCACAAGAAGCTGGGAGGGGGCACAGCCGGCACAGCTGACCCCAACTGGCCCAAGGGCTATTCCATACCATATGATGTCATGCTCAGTATATAAGCTAGGGGAAGAAGAAGGAAGTGGGGGATGTTTGGAGCGATGGTGTTTGTCTTCCCAAGTAACCATTACATGTGACGGAGCCCTGCTTTCCTGGGGATGTCTGAGCACCTGCCTGCCCATGGGTGAATGAATTCCTTGCTTTGCTTTGCTTGTGCACGTGGCTTTTGCTTTCCCTATTAAACTGTCTTTATCTCAACCCACGAGTCTTCTCACTTTTCTGATTCTCTCCCCCGTCCCATTGTGCGGGGAGTGAGCGAGCGGCTGCGTGGTGCTGAGTTGCCAGACGGGGTTAAACCATGACACTCTCTGACTACCTAGGTAGTAGTAAATAGCTGGGTACGCAGCTATTTTAAGACTGTCTCAAACAGTCCTCTGTAGATGGGCCTATCTGACAGGTGACACAAAGCATGCTCATCCCCAATTGCTCTACATGGTTCAAGCAATACCACCAGCCCGTGGGTTTTGCTCTGCAGGCTCTCTAAACAGAGTGAGATGGTTCTGAAAGTGCCATTTCTCCAGGGGCTCTGGTTAATGCAGTGGTAAAACAAGCAACAAGCAGAGAGAAGAGGACAACACCTCTGGGGATGGGGCCAAGCTCACTCCCTCTTGTGACACCTGCAGAGCTGAGCTCTCTCTGCACCTTGCTGGCCACAATTCATTGGTGCTGGTGCCCCACTCCGGCACAGCTGCAGGGGTATGCGAGGGGCTCTCCTCACCTGCTCAATGAGCTCCTCCTCATGCAGCAGGTGGATCTTTGCGACATTGTACTGCTCCTCCAGAGCAAGTGCAAAGTGTGCAATGCTCCGGATGGAGAGCTTCTCCTTCAGGGTGAGAACAATGTCCTGGGAAGGGAAGCACATAGACGGTCAAACAGAATTTAGACACGGTTGCTGAGCACTGCTAGCACACTGCATGAATGTGGATGATTCTAGCCCGTCGCTGGCAGCTGTGTGGGACAGCACTGAAATGGTAGTGGCCAGACACAAAATTCTCTTCAGCCAAGAACATGCTTGGTGCTGCAACACAGAGTGACGTTTTTAATGCTGTTTCACAGGAAACCAGTGCCTGTGTGATATACTGCCTTTCCCTCTTCGCTTACAGCTTCTGAACACATTAACCTAGACAAACTACAGACATCTCAAGCATAGAGAAAGCCTGCAAATTCATAAGAAGTGGAGGCATAGGAGATGGCAGCTTCTTTAGGACACCAAGCACAAGCTTGGCATTTAGCTGCTGTGCTATCCCAGCTGGATGTCTCAGCAACAGAAGATGCCAGCCAGGCAGTGGGCAGGACAACGGCCATGTCCACTGATGCCAGCCAGTTGGTAAGGGAGGGAGTCAAGGGAACTGCAGGGGAAACACAGATGAAGGGAGGACAACACATTTCAGTACATCAGGAGGACAAGGTAGGGAAACTGCAGCTTGCTGTTGTAAGAGTGCAGTAAAAGGCAAACTTCATGGTGTAAGAGGCATCAAATCCATTTCCTAGCATTGCATGTCCTGGGCTGCTTCATGCTGAAAGTTTTGGCTTTACAGTTTTTAGTTTGATGGTGTTGAGCACTCTCTGTCACCCTGGATCCAAATGTTTGCTGTTAACCATTCTGGCTTTCTAGAACTCTACAACACTTTTTGAAGAAACTACAAAAAATTGGTAAGAAACACTTTTCCCCACCAACAAACAAGAATTTAAGAGCATAATTGTAAAAATCTTACCAAATTTGACCGAAACTGGTATTTTAGTTATATGGAGAATTCTGTTGGAATACTAAGTATCATGGAAATAACAAGGTTTATTTTTGACAAACAGAAAACATTACATAAGGCCTGTCTGAGTACAAACTGAGAGGGAGCTCTTTGGACTCACTCAAGCCTCCTGAGGTAAGCATGTTTGACTCATCTCCGTTTTAAGCAAGGATCTCTCAAACAGCAGAGGAACTTTTGAAAACACCTATCTTAGAAGCATTTTCCCTATCTGAGTGTTTCTGTGAGGACCCTGGTGAGGGTTGCACTCAACTCCAGTGGGGAAAAATTTGTTCCAGGTACTTGATTTATTTCATTATTTTCATTTTCTCTGCCCTGCAAGTCACAAGACTTGCAAATACTTGCTTGCATGAGGCCACAACAGTTTTGTGAAGCTTGGATGAACTAGACAATACACTCCTTCCTAAGGGAAGTTTTCAGTGCATTATAAATAAAATCTCCATGCTTTTCCCCTTAATAATCTTTCAGCCTAATAACTCCAGAATGTCTGTCCATTGTGCATCTTTTCCACAGTAACCGCACTGCTGCAGGACATCATATATCCTTTAAAGAAATTATGGCCTCCAATCACTGTGCACAGGCAAATCTTATTAATTCCAACATAAACAATGAGCAACTCTAATGATCAGGCTCGAAATGCTTGAAGTTTGTAAGCCTATGTCTAAACATGGCAATTATGGCAAGTGCTAGATTAATGGCTCTGGACAGCAGCACCCTGTATTTTGAAGAGAATGATGGTACCTTGTCTATAATGCCTCCAAGTACAAGTGATCCTAGGGAGGTGGTACTGCTTTTCCATCTCAAGAAGTTAATCAGTTTTCATGTCTCCACAGGGAAATGTTTTCACCAGTGCAGAAATGAGGCAGGAACAGAGCACTTTAAGTAACAACTGGCACAATTGCAATTGCTGAGTTCACATGATACCCACACCTGAACTCCACTGTCCAAGTCCCAAGCCAGGAGACTTGTTCTGCACATTATTACTGGTATATTAAACAACCTCCTCTGTATTCTGCCATGTGCTTTCCAAAGAAAGCAACGTTTGTGCAGACAGCTGCTGTTTTGCCAGTCTCCCACCAACCTGTCCTCTTGCCTAACTTCAATCACACTTCACAAAGCTGTAGTGGTCTCATAGTCAAGTTACAGTAAGTTCTGTGAAAATTGGTCACTGAGAAGAAAACAGAGGTGAACCAAAGCAATGCCTCCTCTGCAGGAAGGCATGGAAAATCCAGCATGTTCAGCATCAGACGGCAATCCTGTTCCCACTAGCTGGCCAATACAACCATGAGGTTCTAAGTTCCACTGCATGCACCTTTGCTACCGGATTGAATTCAGGCGGTGGCAACAATAGAAAACCAAGCATCTTTACCTTCACAGTAGTGGTCATCTCAAACCTGAAAGCCTTTGTCTGTCCATTTTCCAAGTATACCTTGAGAACGTTGGGCATACAAAGAAGGGAATTCCCCTGCAGAACAAAAGCAACAGCACTAATCCTTGGACGTTAGGCCTCCGGGCACCTCTGCCTGACACGGCACATCCTGGTGTGTGTGTGTATATATATATACACACACATATGTATAAATGAAAATCTTTCTCTGCTTTTGCAATCTTCTGTGGAACCAAACTTTATTCCCTGATTATGCTTCTGGCATGGAACAAAGGGAAGAGAGCATAACAAATGCCTTTGCCATAAAACTCCAGCCAGTTCAATAGCTGTACGTGGCCCAGATATGCCCACTGTTCAGTTCCCACATGGCACAGGAAGATCTGGCAGATACTGAAAGCTGAGAGCCATCCTTCTTTCTCATTACCAGAAAAGCAGCAATGTCTTCTGGAAAAGACATCATCCCATTACTGGTCACCAGGCAGCACTAACCCCCACACTGCCACTTTCCCACAGGCAGCAGCCATGACTTCAACTCAAGAGCTGCCCAAACCCTCCACGCTACCACGAATTGATCTTGCACACCACAGGAGGGCTGTAGGATTCAGCTAAACTTGCAGTGGTACTTTTATTGAGGGTTCCCCTAAGATTTGTGACTCTGGGGCTTACCGAACAGGAGAAGATGTCCCCAGTTTTTTGAGATAGGTCTCAAATGCACTAGACAAGGCAATGACTCCCATAGCAAAAGCACCTCCATCGGGTGCTCTGAGAAGGGTCTGGGAACTTGGCTTGTGTCCTTCTGGGACTGTCTAGAGCTGCACCTTTCAGCCTTCCAACCTTGCTCCTTTAGTAGAGCTCATTTGCACCTTCCTTCTTGTTTTCAGCTGCCTCCTTCTTCTTGTTGTTCAGTCCTGACAAGATTTACTCCTCCACCCTTGGTCTTCCCATTCAGCAGATCTTTTTTATGTTCTTGGGCCAGCATGTTCCTCCAATCTTAAAAAAATTATCTACTTGTCATGACAGTCTCAAAGCATTTCTAAGATGATTTTTCCTGTTTCATTTGCTGTGCAACACCTTACAAATCTCACAGCCTTGGTCCCTCTTGATAGAGGGCCCATATACCCTCGAAGTACTACCAGAACAAACAAACCACTTCTGAATCTTGTTCTTCCCCTCCCTGTTTTGTGGGGTTCAAGCTGCCTACAGTCATGACTGAGAAAAAAAAAAATGTGAACGTTACCACTGTTCCTGAGCCCAAGCTTTAACTCCTTTGTGCTAAGCAGCATGAACACATCACATCTTTGACAGGCTTTGGGTCCCCCATCAATTTCAGAAAAGTGATGATTTACACCAACTGCACGTTTTCTCTGGTAGCTCCTGCAGCTGCAGGTTATGATATGAATGGGGCCTTGTACAGCCAGCATACTGCAGAACTTGACATCTATACAGAAACTCAGACAAATTAAGTATCACCACCCTCCTGGTCATATCCAATTTGCTGGCCAGAACACCCAGATGGGATTTCTCTCCTTTAGTTGTGAAAGCTTCTGCTATGGTTTATGCAGCTGTACCCCTCCTGTTTTGTCTGGTGCAAGGCTGGTTTACTCCATCTTACAGCTAGGCCCACAGCTTCTTGATAATACACTGACTGATGCTGATGAGGATACTGAGGGCCCTGTCTCTTGCATATCATTCAGTTATATAGAAATACATAATAAATTTGCAACAGAAAATGGAATCTGGATAGCATTGAAGCTTATTAACAATTTATGTTCCCAAACTGGAGTTTCAGGTTTCAGCTGCAGAAGACAGCCTCTGGGTTCCTTCCAGTTGCCACAAAGATCATTTAGCAATGCTCCATTAAGATGACAAGAGTAGTATATTTACTGAAACAGGAGGCTTTGCAGTTTTTCAGAGCCATAATACCCATTTTGGCTGACTTAATACATCAGTCTGCTGAAAGGAAAGCGGTTCTAAAACATTCAAGCAGAGTAGCTGCTGTCTATAGTGAACACTGTTTTTCCAGAAAGAAGTCAAATATGCAACAGATTTATTTACTCTTTCTTTGCGCTAATATTTCACTGTTCAAAACAGTAAATTCACCATGTCCAACTGATGAAAAGGGCAGCTAACAACAGTGGGACCCCAACAACCAAATTAATTTCTCTTACCTCTATGTTCTCATTAAATAAATAGCAAACTGTATATTGATTGTGTCCCTCCTCTGCACTTGCAAAGGTATGATTAGCTTAGCTCAGCAGAATATTGACAGAGGCTTTGTAGGAAGCGCAGAGTACAGCGTTCCCTCCAGAAGTGCCTTCTTCAGACTTCTCAAGACCTACCTTGCAACCAATAAGTGAATGGCACAGATCTGAAACCTCCATGCGCTGCAACACCAGTGCCCAACCTCTGGCTGAAACAGCTCCATGGAAGCTGCCAAGCAGATACTAGTGTGAACCTCCAGCTATAAGAAAAAGCAGAGACTGCTGGCATTTTCAGGTCTGGCTGTATCCCATAACCAGCCTTGCCCAAGGCCTCTCAGACATCTCTGCCTGGAACCAGTTTCAGAGCACAACCTCCTCTTCCCTATTCCCTGCCTTGCGAGCTCTGTGGCCTGTCACGTCTCCCAACCACATGAGGGGCCCAGTACCTAGCTTCTAGGTCAGGAAGAGTGGCCCAGCTGCCGCAATGCTCAGGCAGGATCCCAGACAGACCTGTCATTAAGATCTGAGGGATGTGAACACCTCCCTTGGTAGAGCAGAGATGAGCCTTGCAGCAGCTCCAGCACATCTGGTAACAACTTGGCAGGAAGGAAGAGTCCAGAGCCTAGAGAGACTTACCAGCAAACGTGTCAGGAGTCACACCTGACCCTCTCCTGCTCTAGAGAACAGGCCAGAGAAGAAGTCCCAACATGCCTAGGGTCAGGCACAGTTGCCAAAGCACTGTCACAGTGCCTGTCTAATAGGCTGGTGGCATCCACGGCATCTCTGGCTGCACCTCTGCCCTAGTGCAGGGGGAGAAGAGGAGATGCCTGCCACAGGGAAGGCTATGCCCTAGGAGCTGGGTCAGGAGACCTCACTACCAGCAGAGATGGGAAACAAGAGAGCACCTAGCAGAGAAGAAAAGGCCCTAGTGGCTGGTTCATCATCACTGCAAAGTGCAAAGAAGCAAGATTTGGTCAGACCTGAACAACTGAAGAGCACTAAGGAGTAGGGAACAGGAGCAGAAGATTTTGACCACTGGAATTTTTCATTCCAAAAGGAAAAAGGAAAATTCAATAGAGTTAAAGACACCCAACTGACCACAGTCCACACCAACCACACTGAGCTTCATAAGTTACACATAAAGAAAAAGGAAACATTTTTGTACAAGAGGCGGACCCACTTCTACCCAGCTCATTTGTTACCAGTGCTAGAAACCCTGTGATAAATTTGCAGCATTCCTCCAGTGAGCCACAATCTTGTTTGTGGCTCAGTTTACAGATGGTCTATTATGGAGGCAGCTGTGAATGCTCTGTGGAAGCCCGCTGCAAGGATGTGAAACACAACAAGCTGGCAGCCTATCAGCTAGAGAATATATGTCAAGTTTAACAGCAAAGCAAAGCCACAAGTATCAAACTCTCTGAACACAATCCTACCTGAACACTGCTGAAGGCCAGGAAGTGACACCCCAGCTACTTTGGCAGCAAATAAACCTGCCATGGACAGTAGGATTCACCTCTCATCTTTAGGGTTAGGATCTGTCATGCCCAAACTTCAGTCTAGGTTTACTATGGAGAGATTAACACCTCAAGAGATGACTACTACATCCCACAGATGTGTAATGCTGGTTTAAAGTTTACGTGATGGTAAAAGAATAAAAGTAGTACATGCAGGTATTTTCTAAGTCTAAGTAAGCAAATCAAAGATAAAATCCTCTAGAGATGCCAGCACTTCCTCCCGATCACCAGTAAGCCTAGGAAACAAGTTGAAACCAGATGCCTGGATGCATATCCAGGGCAGACTAGCGTAGTGAGGGTGCAGCCACTCTGTGGGTCCTGGCCACAACTCAGTTAACCCAACCCAGCATTTTTCCACAGGAGTGACCCATTTCTTCCCAGCATGCAGTGCCCACAGCACCTGGCTGCAGCCATGCCCCACTGACCTGTGTGTGTCCATTCACCAGCACTTCCTCTGCGAATCGTACTTTCACAGGGTTTGTTTTCAGCCTTGCCCTCTTCTCTGCAGTAAGAAACGATGACTTAGGCCCGCCCTGAAAAAACAACAGCACTCAGCTGGCAGCTCAGTCTGTTGCAGTTATGTACAAGAGGCAGAGGCCCACAATACAGGCAGGGGAGCCATCACAGCCCATGCTGAAGCTGCTCACACCATGCTGCTTTGCACTTACAGGAACAGGTCTTGTTAGGAGTCTTTCAGCCTCCTGGCCTTGCTACAGGCCTTTTTGACCTATCTGGATGGTGGCTGCCTTCTGAACCCAAACCCAGCTGTCCAACAAGTGGACACACGTGCAACACGTGCTGTACACACTTCTAATTTCACTGCATGTCAAACAGTTACTGTGTTTAGGCATCTCCCCAACTCCTGCAATGAAGCCAGGATCCTACAGAACAACTGTTAAATCTACCAACAGCTGGCGTGCAGTGGGATTACACAATACCATAAACCAACACACGCAGGGTGCCTTGCAGTGATAGACAAAGACCCCTGTCAGTATATCACAAGGACACATCCGTGTATGCAACATTTCCCAGCTCAGCTGGGGTTTCTAGAGCATACTCTCATATTGCAAATGTTTAAGAAAACTGCCCAAGGCTAAAAAGCCAACTTGACTTCATTGCACTGTTGTCACATAACCATGCTTTCACTGTGACAGGGGCCTACCAAGCTCACATGAGCCTAGGAACCACCGAGTTCTTGTGATCAGATGTCCTGCTGTTGTAAATCATGATATTCCGTAAGAAGAACGGAGGTAGTATCCCTCAGTATCCTCCCAGACAAATTCAAGGTAGAGGAACTCCTACACTCTTGCCAGAGGTGCAGGTGCCTCCCAACCTGCCACAGCCCCATCTTGCCCCAAGGCCATTTGGCAAGGACAAAGGAAGAGAGGCAGGCAGGAATCTCTGTACCTGGCCAGCAAGCCCTTCCAGAGTCTGCCGGGCTCTATGGAGCATCACACCCCGTGGCTGCCCAGAGGAGGGCCAAGGCCTCCCACATCCCTTCTAGTGTGGCCAGAGCAGCCCCGGCAGAGGGTCTGGTATCCATCGAAGGGAGGCGTTACCTCTCAGCTCTAAGCACAGCTGCCTTCAGAGTGGGGCAAGAGCCAACCCCAAACCCAAGATCAGCCTTGGCTGTATTTGGAGGTGTCCTTAAAGTGACCTGCAAAGGAAAAAACAAAAATGGGTTTGTGCCCCATTTGCTTCTCAACAATGCATGAAGGCCTTTGAAGGGTGTTCCAAATGCTGTGAAGGGTTTTCCAAATAATTTCCTCACTGAAAAGCCATTGCATTTTCCTGCTTTTGGCAGGCATTTAGGTCTTGCATAACTAACTCTCATTCCTTCCTTGATCTCCAGAGCCAGATCAAGCACTGGCAAGACTGACAGCCACTGTACTAGGCAAGGGAGATCAGATTAACAAAAGAGGGAAGTCACTGTTCAGTGGGTTTGCTTAATTTTTTTCTGGTTACTTTGGTTTTGTGCACATCCATTGAATGCCAACACCTGGGGAAGTCTGGGCAGGAAAAATATATTTAAGAGATTTTTCTCATTAATATACCTTTACTGGCCAAGAAACCTCATGACCTTAAGCCTCAGAGCTCTAGTAACTCTTCTGAATTAATCATATCCTTGTTTCTAAGATTAAATCAAAATATAAAACCAAAAAACACTCCCAAAATGCCTTCCAGGGTGGGGCAGGGGAGAAATCCCCCTCAGGCCACTTTCATACATCACAAGAAGCCAAAAAGCACACAAACCCAATTTTGTCCTTGCTTTGCAGCTCAGTTTTTACACACATTGAAATCCATGTGGATAAATACGTCATGCTGGCAATACTTGCCTTCTGGGGAATTTTATGCTACAGGAATGGGCAATCAGCACCAAAGGTCTGTACTAAAACTTTGCTTCTATTCCCAAAGTATGATCCACACCCAGGTCCCAGCCCTCAACCAGACAAAGCCTGGAGAAAGAGGGATAAATTTTTCCAGCACTCAGAAAAGAAAACCTTAAGAGCTTCCAAGGACCACCCAGGAAGGATGCTGGGCCTGCAGCCTCAGCACCTGCCTTTTGTGTCCGGGGGTTCCCCATGGCACAGACACCCCCAGCACGTGGGGAGCACTCCAGGTTGTTCTTGGTGGGCTGGCCACAGCTTGCTGAGGAGACCTGCCTGCATCCGAGTTATTGTGGCCTCCTTGCCCCTGTGGAGCCCACAGGGCCCTCACAGCTCCTGATGGAGCCTCCAGCTCCAGGGACCATGGGCTCTCTCAACAAGTCTCTCTGTGATAGGCTCTGCAAGCTGCCCTGGCCATGCACCCAGGGTTAACTGCGAGGAGTTACTATTGATTCTCCCCAAAACCTCCTCAAAGGGCATGCGTGAAAGCAGAGGACCCTCGAAGATCCCTCATGGCTTCGGTCGGGCCCTTGTGTCCTGAGTGCCAGCCCAGCTGCCCCACCTTCCAGGCAGGCCTCACTGCCAGCCATGGCCATCTGGGGCAGTGCTGCTGGGAGTGCTGAGAGTGCTGAAGAAAGGCCATTTACCGACGTGCAGCGCAGGACGGTTAGGAGGAGCTCATCACCGGCCTCCCTGTAACAGAGACATGCAGTCAGCCAGGGTCAGCAGCTGCCTGTGCCTTCCTCCCCTGTGTCACAACAGACGGCACCAGCAAGGCGCTTGGCCCCTTCGTCCCACCCTGCGAGGGAAGGCTCTCAGCTAGGCAGGGCACAGCCCACCAGGCACTGCCACAGTACAGGGAAGTGGGGCAACCCCTCTCTCCTGGGCTGCTGCGCCCTTCAGCAGGGCGGACTCGTCCCTGTGGGGCAGGTCCCCACCAAGCACAGCACCCTGGGAGGCGGCAAGGTCCTCCTCTGCAGGGGGGCCAGCACCACACAGCTGTGCACCTTTGCAGCGCTTGGTGAGACCCAGTCCCCGCACCTCTCCTCTCAGCCCTCTGCCACCTTGTCCCCACAGGCCATGCGGGACCACACCTGATGATGTCAGCTGCCCGTTCGACAGACACGTCGTCCACCACGGTAGAGTTTATCAGGAGGAGCTGGTCACCTGGCTGCAGCTTCCCTTCAGCGGTGCTCCCTGCAGGCGACCAGCACACTGTTAGTCATGACAGTGCCACACCAGCAGACCTCCTCCCACCAGGGACACTCACGGCACATGCTCCTCTTTCCACCCAGCACCCACTTGCCCCAGCAACTGCCTCTCGATGGCAAAATAAAAAGGCACCAAAGGATGTTGGACCCTGATGCCAGCTGGTGTACCACTGTCTGTGTCCACACCGCCTCGCCTGGGCTGTCTTCTGGCCCCTCAAGCTGCCCCTGCCCCACAGAAAATCAAGCTCGTGCATGTCTTTTCCCTTGTTACAGCCCACCACACAGTCCTCAGACACCAGCTGCCTGGGGTGCAACAGCAAAGCTCACAGGCTCTCGGGAAACCACAGGAGGACTTGGGGGCAGCAGCACTGCCTTGTCCTTCACCCGCTTGTGAGCCCTGGGCCTGCAGAGGCCTCCAGGGGCCTGGGCAGCTGCTGCAGCACAGCACTGCTCTGCGGGGTCTCGCACCGTGGCCTGACCCTGCTGGTTACATCCCAGCGGCTGGCCATGTATGGCACACAGGCTTGGTACTCCCGGCATGCTGCCATCCAGACCAAGGTGCTGCAGCAGTCCCCAGTAGATGTGGGCTGGATTTCCAGCACGGTAACTGCCCTCTGCAACTCAGGAGAACATGGAGGAGGTCTCCATAACCACGCTGTCTGCTGGGAGGACCCACAACAAGAGAAAAAGATGGTTTTGGAGCTTTGCTTTCCAGGAGAGTAGCAGCCGCAGGATCCAAGGGGCTAAGGAGCAGCTGGACCTCTGGTTTGAGAAGGAGCGTACATGCAGCCCCCAGCTCTGCCCTGGCCACCCTGCTGGCCAAGGCACATTGCTGAATTTTTCTGCCAGACAGGTTTGCCCATGAACCACCCCAGCACCTGCCACCCGTCCCTCAGTGAGACCCCAGCGTCAGGTAGCATACATGAAAGGCAAAGCACAAAACCAAACATTTGGAATTAAACACAGGGCTTTTAGGCATGGGCTCCCACAGCAAAGAACAGGACTTAAAAGGACATGTTTCTTTGTGCCCCAGTTTTAATAAAATGTTGATTCTTTCCAATTAGGAAATAATAGAAGCATAACAGAAAACCTCCTTCCCCAGTTCTTAGACCCCAAGAGTCTCAGTTAATTTATCCACTTTTCACCCAGGAAGGGGCATGAAAAGAAAATTTCATTCAAAAGCACTGTGGAAGGACAGCAACCATACTGTAGTACCTTTATGCTAAACATCCCACAAGCACTTGGGCAGGCTGTTCCCCCAGGCAGACAGGGGATGCCACAGCCCACATGGGCGGCCAGAGCAGAGCCCAGGCCAGCCTTCCAGCCACCCTCCCCACAACACCTACCTGCCCAGCTTGGGCATAGTCTTTCTCTGAATGTCACACTAACTCCGACATGTAAAAAGCAGACATTTTTGTGCACCCATTAAAAAAATAGAAGGTAAATAAAAAACAGATTCAGTTTTTGGTTCAAAACCCCCAAGCCACCTTAAAAGCATAGCTACATGCCTCCCTTTTATAACTGGAGGAGTTGATCTGCTTGACTTAAGCAGAACTTCACTTGGGGCGCCTGTAACTAGCAGTGATCCTCTCTGTGTTACAGGCCTGTAAGCCCAGAGAGCATTTTCAACAACAGATCACCAAGGCCACTGCAGGATAAGAACTCTAAGGTTAGATTAAATTTTTCCTTTGCATTTCAGATAAAACACCAGAAAGAACTTTGCTTTGAAGCAGATCTTTGCATCCCTGAAGGTCAGCTGTATCGAAGAGCAGGTGAAGGATTAGCGGTGAGGCTTGCCTTTGGCTTAGATTTCTTCCATGCCATCAGAATCAGGTAGATGTTCAAGCACTCTGCATGCCACAGGCACACAGGCTTTTGCCCTCGGTACTCACGGATCACATCCCAACCAGAGGTACCTGAGAAACTCATAAATACCTGGCAGGAATTTATCACTAAGGCCATCTGGGACAGTTCAAGCTTCTCATACCTGTGATTGTAGGGAGAAGAAAACTGTGCTTACCTGCAGTAACAGATGCAATTGTAAGAGGAAGGTTTGGACAAATCTCAAATCCGTAGTGATGGAGGACCAAATCTTTGTATATTGTGACAGTAAGTTTGACATGGCTGGCAGGCTGGCCACTGCTATCACTGGTGCTGTCTGTCACAGACACTCTGCCCCTGTGAGACAAGACGACAGTGATTAATTAAGATATAGTCAGAAAATACTTTATCAAAGGGGCACAGATGCACACACTTCCACTTTCAGTGGGCTGCACCAGTACACACAGAGGCCAGCACTTCTCTGGGTGCCCACAGCTGGCTCTGAACCAGGCAGGCCAGCAGTGATCCCCCAGGCTCCACAGAAAGCTGAAGACATCAGCCCAGTGGCATCAGCTGGCTGTAACCACAACTCTTTTCAGCCACCCCAGCCCAGTGGTCACATGGTGGGAGAACTCCAGGTGTGCCTCACACCAAGCCCTGACCTCCCCAGATCACAGCAACACTTTTACCCAGCAAGGCAGTGAGAGAATGTACAGCTCTCTGCTTCTGCCAGGATCCAGTCCAGCTTAATTTTGATTTGCAGACCTTAGGAAAGTAAAGCAGCTGTGGGCCAGGACCCCTTGTCAATGCAGCCCAGTCTTGCCTCAAAAAGGGCCAATGGCAAGAGACAAGAGAAGTACAACTCCATCTTCAAGAAAAGCGCATTTCACATTGAGCAGTATTGTATTTCTGCAGATGTGCCTCACAAAACCAGAATGAGTGAAAGCAGTCCCTGGAAACCAAGGGGGATGCTTAAAAGCACTGTTTTTCCTAGGGACTACTGTATGCATATTTCCCAAGGACAACTGAAACAATGAGTAAGATCGGACCCCTGTGACTGCCCCCGTCTTGTCCTGACTCTGTTCAAAGGTGGTCAGCAGATATTCCTTTTATAAAAAACATGTTTACCTGGATGCACCATCCCGAGATCGATGGAGCCATTTTGCTACCATTTGCTCTATTCTACATGCTTTTCGTGTCTGGATTAAGTTAGTCTCCAAATCTTCCATCTACCTGAAAGTGACAGAAATCACAGGAAAACAGAATGATAAAAGATGGAGGAAATCTTCTAGACACCGTTCAGAGTAACCAACACCAACTCACAACTCTTTCGTAATAAAGAGATCCATTGGCACCTTGGGAAGAGCATGTGCTTTAATAGAGGATGTTAACACCCGTAACACTTACTGTGGTTCTTCCTGCCCATCCAGTCTCCCCTGCCTGGTGCTTTTGGTTAGTCCCTGTTGGTGGTCGTAGTGCATTTTCTTCTCATGGCAAAGAATGACCCAGTAATCTCTGTATTCCTTTTTCATAGTTTCTGGATCCAGTGATCTATTTTCTCAACAAGAGAAAGCTGCCATACCTAGTCACAGGAAAGCCCTTCTCTGGGATCTCTGAATGATAAGTTTGGTAACACCCACCTGTACATTGATCCAAACTAGACACGGTTCTTCCATTGACCATCATTTCAGGGACAAGTACACGGCCTTCAGCCTCAGTAGGCCAAACAATTCAGGGCACGACAGTGAGGTTTACAGCCAACTCCTGGCTGCCTTGGGAAGGCAGAGAGCTGGTGTATTTCCTCCCTGTGACAGGTTTCCTCCTGGATTAATACAGCCACAGAAATTCTACAGAAAGCAGTAATAAAGCAAGAAACTGAGTGGCCAGTGCAAGCTGCTGCACACTGCTGTTTGAACTAGCATAAGCAGTCTCTAAACCAAGGTCATAAGCTCAAATTTGTCTCTGATAAAACTGGTCCAGTGTACTGATGTCTGCTAGTCCTGGAGCTCTGCAAACAGGTGGTTCCAGAAATCAGTAAAGTGAGTGGCTCATCCTAGATCTTCCATTTAAAAGCTCTAGTTCAACAATATGAAAATGGCAACTCACCCAGCCTGCTCCTTGTGTGTGTACCATCTGCTGTTGATAGGATGTTTTTAGTCCTACTGAACTGAAGAATTGCAGCATTAGAAAAGTTTGGCCCAAATCTGGTTAATTCATTGTGACTTTAATTGCACCTAAAAATGTTCCTTCTTTTGAAGATGCAAAGGCTAGGTCAGCTTCCAGACCCCAACTGAACCTGTCAGTCCACAATTCCTCTACCAAACCAGATAACTTGCCACTTTAACTTTGTGCCTTCCAAGATAAATAAAGCCTGTAGCCACATACTATTTTCGTTACTCATTCAAACACTGGAAAGAACTGTGGGCTGCAAGTGAACCAAACACAAAACAAAACAGGAAATATGTCTGTATCTACAAGAAGTCATGAAGAATATAAACTCTTCTTATTTCAATTGTATTTCAGCAAGGAAACAGAATTATTACAGCCACCTTTCACACTGTGTCTTCCGGTCAGCTTGCAAGATTTGTATGTTCTGAGCTCTTCTCTTGTGTCTTCTGCTCAGACAGTAAGTTCTGCACATCGGGGACATTGTCTGTTATGCTGGGGCAGTACACAGGACAGCGGGCTGCTGGTCCATAGCAGGAGCTCTGCTGCAGCAGAAATATTAGTAAGTTAACTTCAGAATAAAAAGATATAAAAGAGATGGTTGGAAGCTGACAGAAATGAGGCACAAAACATTTTGTCTCAACACAAACCGGACCTCTTCCCCTCAGCACCCTCCCAACTCACAACACTCCTCCAACTCATCTTTTCGCACAAGGATGAGAGGACAGCACCAAAATGTGTTGGTCTTTCCCTCTCAGGAAGCCATTCTGGCCCATTTCACTACCTTGCCTGGGTAGCAATGGACAGAAAAGAGGGCCATAAAATTCAACCCTTCAGGAGCTCTTTACTGAGCGTTCTCTTGGCTGCTCTTTTTTATGCAACGCAATTCAAAACTGCTCCTTCAGCCACACTGCTCCTGTATCTGCCTCTGAACAGCATCTCTGAACTAAAAATGAGTACCCTTGCAACCAAGTGGTGTTTTCTGAAGGCAACTAGAGCTTGTAGGGTGGGAAATCTGCTCCCTTTCCTGAGGGTGACTGGGAAGTAACCATAGAACAAGTAGAAGCACAGCAGCTCTGCAGCCTGAAAGACACACATAGGACATATCAGACCAAGGCCTGAGCAGTCATCATCTATGCTTAGCATGTTCCCTTTCAGCCTTAGTATTTCACTGTTTCTGACAGTCAGCTCTGTAGGCACTGTAATACTTACAACACTGTGGCTGCAAGCATGTTCCAACTTTGACTTGAATTTATGAGTGCTTTGTGCTTTTCTATAAAGCATAAAGTGCTCTGGCTTTCCTGCATCCCTTCAAATGCTCTAACATTCCCCTCTGAGCCATGGGGAAAGTTCTGCTTGCAACTGGTCCTTCCTCCCAAGAGGCTCTCTGCATGCCTAGAAGTTACCTGCTTCGGCTACTGATGCACTGAAATCAACTTTTCTCTAGTGCTTTCCCACTACCTCTACCCCTGCCCCATATCTTTTACTTCTTTGCAGAAAGGACAGCCTTTCCTTTCTATGTTTCTGCTGTGCTTCACAAAACAGAATTTCTGGAGAAAGTCTCTTGTAACCAGCAGGAGAAGGAGGAAAAGTTTGAAGAACAAACATAAATGCTTAAAAATCCCAGATGGAATACTAAAAGAGAAAAAAAACCCACATTGTTCTTTCAGTAAACCAGAATGTTTGAGCCAAACAATAAGCATCTTACAAGATGCAGTTTGGGCAAGTATTTCCCTACGATAGTGCAACACACAAGGTAGCACCCTTCTTTCTCATGGTGTCCCCAGGGCACAGAGGCACCTGCACATGTGCTGAGCGGGACAGGATTAACCAGCCTTTCACACAGATCCATCACGCATGCGCAGTTGGCACTTTCAAAGACGTCCTACAAAAGCTCTGACCTGAGCCCTTCTCCCACCTCCCCTTCTGCAACTATTTTTGAGCCAAGCCCTTGAGCACGTCACTAAGCAGCTTGAGTGGGCTAGGATCCTAATGCATAAAGATCTTTAAACTCTTGTGAGAGGAAGTGAAGACTTGCCAGGTATTTGCATGGCTAACTGACCCATCCAGACAGCCATTGGTCGGTGTCTCAGAGGAAACCTGGGTGCATGATTCTGACTCTTCAGGAACAACACTGACTGGAAGATCAGGGCCTTGGCAAACCTCAGAGCATGTAGCCACAGGGTAGTAAAACAGACAGCAGTGCTGGAAACACTCTGCCTCCTGCATGGAGAAACCAAGGACAGAAGGAGAACTGCCAGCCTTCACTGTCTGTACGTCATGCACCCCTGCCACAGCAGCAAGAACACGGCTTCCCCACCAGCCTCCTCTTCCACAGCCTCCCTTTCAGCCACTGCAGCAGCACAGCAGGCTCACATATTCCACCCCTGCTGCAAACAAGGACAACACAGATCTGATCTCACACCAGTTGGTTCATGTCCACTCCAAAATGGAGTGGAAAGTTGGTGGCAGCCTGCTGTATAGGGAGAGGAAGCTGTGAAAAAATGTGCGCCGACTGCCCAGTGAGGCAGAATGCACTGAAAGGAGGAGTATTCAACCAGCTAGCCCAGATTTGACTGGCAGAAAAGAAAAAAAAAAACCAAAACAAATTTCAAGGAGAATACTTCAATTTTTCTCCTGTCCTTACATGGAAAGTATTAATTCATCAAACTGAAATTTTCTGATGGACAAAAGTTTCACTGGTGTTTCTGAAATTACATCTTTGCTTTAAAGTGTTCATTACCATCAAAATGTAGCAGGAGCAGTAGTCAGAATGAGCATGTCTCCTCCACTCACTGATGGAAGAGAACTTCATGAACAGAAACAGCTGCAAAAAGCTGTCATAAAACAGCTCTGGATGTGGTCCACCCACATCTTCACCCATTTCAGCTTTTGGAAGCATCTTTCTAAGTACTTCTTGTAATGGATGCCAGTCAGTAGTGTGTAATCTCAATGAAGGCAATAATAAAAAACAAACAGTGTATAATATGCCCTGTCCTCCCCCAGGCCCCAAAGCACAGGACTGACAAAGGGCTGTGACACTTTGGTGGCTCTTCTGGGTGAACAGAGGTCTGCTACTCGTGATTTGCTTGCTCACTGCCTACGCAGCAAGTCTTCAACGCACAGACCACTCTGCACATGGCAAGCAGCCCTGCAAGGCTAGGAAGACTATAACAGTTTGTGGGAACACAATCCTTGCTCTTCTGCTGCAATTTTTTTCCCCACTGGCAAAGGGAAGAGGACACATTGCTGGGAGAGCACCAGGCCAAAATCCAGACTTCCTCAGAGTACCCAGCAGAGAAAACAAGAGTAACTTAGGTTAAATGACCTTTGTCTCTCTTCAGGATATTCAGCATTGTGGCTTTTCTTATACAGCTTTTTGATGCTGCCAGAGACATCAGGCAGGCCACCCGAGAGCAACCAGAACAACAGGCAACCTGGGTGGAAGCAGATGGGAGGAGGTCATGGGCTGGTCCGATTCCAGCTGTCTGTGCAGAGCTCTGAGAGCTGGGACACAGGGATGACCCATCTTCTGCCTTCTCCCACAGACACTGTCAGAGGTGGTCAAGCCAGCTGAGGAAAAATCTTTTGTCCTGTTTTTAAGGGTGCCCTTGCACCTGCACCTCCTTGCAAAGCTCTCAAAACCTCCTGTGGACTTTAGCGACTCACTGGACCAGGCAGGGCAGGACACGACACGCAGCTGCAGGCAACGTAGAAGGTATACGTACAAGATCTTTCTGCAACACTCCATCTTCACATCAGCACTAACAACTCATTACAGTCCAGCCATTGTCATATTGATGTTCCCAGAGCCCCTGCTCTAGAGCTACACTGACAGCTGGAAGTTTCAGATTCGGTTTGATTTTTACTATGAGAGTGAAGTATCTGACCTTTACAGTGGTAACAAAACCACCCCTGATACATAATCCCAGGCACATCCTCATGAGGCAAATGGAAAGGAATTTGAGTTTTTTGTTGCTTTAGATTTCCTAAAGTTTGGGGCCTGATTTGTTCTAAATACTGGGAATCAGCAGCTATGACACCAATATTACTGTGTGAATAGAATCATACAGAATCACTTTGGTTGGAAAAGACCTTTGAGATCATCGAGTCCAACCTTTAACCTAACCCCTGCCATCCCACCACTAAACCCTGTCCCTAAGCACCTCATCTATCCTTCTTTTAAATACCTCCAGGGATGAGGACTCCACCACCTCCCTGGGCAGCCCATTCCAGAGCCTGACAACCCTTTCAGTGAAGAAGTTTTTCCTAATGTCCAACCTAAACCTGCCCTGGCGCAGCTTCAAACCATTCCCCCTCATCCTATCGTCCGTTATCAGGGAGAAGAGGCTGACCCCCACCTCACTACAGCCTCCTTTCAGGGAGTTGTAGAGGGCGATCAGGTCTCCCCTCAGCCTCCTCTTCTCCAGACTAAACAACCCCAGTTCCCTCAGCCGCTCCTCGTATGACTTGTGCTCCAGACCCCTCCCCAGCTTGGTTGCTCTCCTCTGGACATGTTCCAGCAATGCAACACCTTTCTTGTAGTGAGGGGCCCAAAACTGAACACAGGATTTGAGGTGCAGCCTCACCAGCACCAAGTACAGGGGCACGGTCACTTCCCTACTCCTGCTGGTCACACTATTCCTGATACAAGCCAGGATGCCATTGGCCTTCTTGGCCACCTGGGCACACTGCTGGCTCATATTCAGCCGGCTGTCAACCAGTACCCCCAGGCCTTTTTCCACCAGGCAGCTTTTCCATCTGACAGCAGATGCAGAACAACGACATTCTTCTTTATAAAATATACTCTTCTAACTGAAAAGCAGATGATCAGCATTTGCAGCACTGCTGCTGCCAGCCCTACTGATGGTGCCAGTGGAAGATGGAAGACAGACTTGGCAGCAGGTACCTGATTATTGTAACTTGCTCTCTGTGGGGTTTAGGGAGCATGTATCAGGAGCTTGTGCAGCTATGCAAAGATAATGCAGCACTCTGCCCCACATGTGAATTTAGCAAGGGAGTAAAGGGCCTTTAAGGCTTCTTTCACCTGCCGTTTTCAAGTCAGCCCCCCAGCCACTCTGCAGTAATGCTTACAGTGGAGATAATCAGGAGAGCAGCCAGCTCTGCCCTCTAAGTTCCAGCTAATCCTATGCAGCCCTCACAGGAAGCCTTGCAATGTGCAACAAGGTTGTCTGATCATGGAGGACACAAACTGCAGCAGCTGTGGGGGAGACCATTTCTTTTGCAGATGTGTCTATAAGTTTTAAACATCTGTATCCCTTAACTGGGAAAGCCTTAGAGCTTGCAGTCAAAATTTGTAGTCTTGAAAGTACAGGCAGCAAGATTCAATGGCAGTGAGTGTCATGGCCCAAAATGTAAATACAGTGCTTTGTGCTGGTCCCCTCTGCTTTTCATCAAAACCAAATCTCTCTTTTGACACATGGTCAAAACCTGGGCACTGGGTTAGCTCCTTACAAATCAGTCTGCTGTTCCTCAGGAGGGGCTCCCAGCTCCAAAAATGGCCTCTTGTCCTCTTCCAAATG